AGTTTTCAAAAGCGTGAGTAATTTAGGAGATTAAAAGGCGTTTTCAAAAGTGTCGACTTTTCAAAGTGCCTAATTTCCAGCGACTTTCAGTGAGGTTTGGGAATCTTAAATCATCTGGTTGCTTCAGTGAATAGCACTGTTGATTGCAGGGTAATGCATCATCAGCTGGGATCCTGCTCGTGTCAGAGGTCAGTGTTGAGTGACTCTCAGGAGGGTGTACAAATCCCCATGGCTGAGCAATCCAGGGAATTCCGTCTGCCCCTTCCCAGAGGGGGCTTTGAGAGCACAGAGCTCTTCTGAGTTTCTGGGCTAATTGCACAGGGATGCTGTGGGAGAAGTCCACTTAAGCTCCCTTTTAAACTCTGTTTTCGTCAGGTTTTAGTCACAGGTGCTGGATCAAGTTTTGGTCTGTCCAATTTGTGACATTTTTCCCCTTTTCTTATTTTGTTGCATATCACTTTCACTCGTGTCTTCTGTTTCGTGGTAGGAGGCTCTTCATATCTAGGAATTTTTATTAACATATAGAGATATAATTTAATATATGAAAACTCTTTATGTAAAAATCATAGGTTTCCCGTGTTTGCCTTTGGTCTTGGAAAGGGTCATGTGAAGGACTGGCTCAAACCCCTTGCTGAACTGCAGGCTCACAGAGGGAGAGAAGAATATGTTTAGGAGTAAGAAGGGCTCAGCATTTGCATTTGGATGCATGTCTTAGGGCTTCAGAGCTCTTTAGACTCCCAAGTGGAGCAACTTCGAAGTTCAAAGCGGTGTGATTTTTGGCAGGTTTTTTTCCCTAAGACTTCTTCAGGGCATGAAATATTCTGCCCTCAGTGCATGTACATAACTCTCATTGGCCTTAAAAGAAGTTACATGCCTACATCAAAGGAAGGATTTACCCCATAATGATTCATCGTGAGCCTGACAGGCAAACACAACAGTGGAGAGCTCACAAGCCAAAGCTCCTGAGCTATGGGGACGGCAAAGTTCAGATCTCTGCCAATCAGCCACATTGCTGCTCTGATTTTCAGCAGTTTTTAATTTTTTAAATTGTTTTGGTGGGGATCAAACCACATGTTATCCATCTGGTAGAAGAATGGTAGGGCTCGAGCAGAGAGACAGTCCCTTTAACATCTTATGTGGGAGTAAACCAGGGTCAAATTGAATTTTTGCCTGGAAAGTGCATCTCCCTATCCCTCGTGCTACACTGGAGACACAGAGCCACAATATTTTAAAGCAAATTAGAAAATATCTTTTTATTAAAATGTGACTGCAGAAAGTCCTGGGAAGGAATGTGTTAATGACTGGTGATTGAATGCAGTGGTTTGCAAGCTCTAAGCAGCTTTAGTGTCTCCTACCACAGCCCTGATTTAAAATTCATAAATGCTAATCCTCCATAATTTACGGTTTAAAAAGCAGCCCCACTCACAGGCCCTGTGGCTACAGCTCTGTCAGAGTAATTATGCCGCCAAGCTGAAATTGGACTACTAACTGAGATATTAAACAGGGTAGGAAATCCTCTTCCCTGGCAGCCTACCCAATTATTCCAAATAAGCAAACAGATTAGTGAGTAATTTTCCAGTTAAATCTGGTGATTGGTGCCAGAATTGTATGTTAAATATTCAGAAGTAAATAGATTAAAGATGAAATGTCCCCTTTTCTCAAGCTTAATTTAGTGTGTATATTAAAACTTTTTAGGGGGAAAAGAAATCTCCATTGAAGTGCAATCCATTTGCTTTGAAAACAGAACCTTTCCTGGCTTGTTTGCACTTGGGGCAGCGCGTTCATTAGCTGGGGCACGTTGTGCCGAGGGAACCTTGTGCCACATTAGCCACAGTATCAGTCCTGCTGTTCCTTTATCCCTCACCTTGGAGGAGCCCTCCTGGGCGGCAGCGCTGTGAGACCGCACGCGGCTCTGCTGGGGACCACGGGCACCGAGTCCCACCAGGGCACCGCGACACTTGGCTCTGCCCATCCCCGTCAGCAGGACAGGAAAGGATTTGGAGGAATTAACAGTAAATGTGGGCATTTCTCATTCGTTCTGAGCTTGTTTCTGAATTCAGCTTGAATTTCCCCCCTGAGCTGCCCAGGCTGACTTTTTTTACCTTTCCAAACACTCCTTGCAATACAGTGTTTGGCTCGGACACAAAGTAGAGGGAAGATGGGGGCAGAAGGAAGGAAAACATGGACTGAATGCCCAGCAGGCACAGGCAAGAGGCAGGGGATGATGTAGGCAGCTCAGCTGGAGCAGTCCAGGAGTACAAGCATCAGGTCTGTCCCTCTGCTGCCCTCACACTACAGGCTCTGCGTACTCACCTCTAGGAGCTGACCCAAGAAACTGCACCCTAACTGGAGTCAGGCAGCCTTCAGCAGCTGAAGGGAGCTGCTCTGGAGAAGGTGAGCTGACACCAGAACCACTCCAGAAACTGGCAGTGGCTTGTGGCACCTCTCAGGAAGGACCAGCACCTCTCCCCAGGAGGGCTGGCGTGGTAGCTGCCACACAGAGCCAGTTGTTTGCTGCAGGGACTATGATGGCAGACCCTGGAATGACCAGGTGGTGCACACTGCACTTTAGGACTCCAAAAATCTTTCTCAAAGTGAGTCTGAAGGAAATGCTTTTGCATTCATGGATTAAAGCAAGGACTTGAAGTGCTGGAAACACACATGTACATTTCAATATGCAAGAGCATTAAAGGGAAGGAAGCTGCATTTGGGGAACTGGAATTGATTTAGCACCTGGTGGAATTTGCTTTGAAGTTGTTTCAAGGATCTCAAACACTATGAACAATGTTTTATGCCATTTCTAGTGGGTTTTCTTTCCAGTTGCTAAAAGCTTGTGGTGCTGAGGAAGTAAACAGTCCTCTTAGTTGACAAGTGAAGCGGAAGGAGCAGCACCTGCTTATCAAGAGATTGAGGTACAGTAGCCTTGGGGTCAAAGAGCTTCAGACCCTCAGTGTTAGTTATGGCTTGGTCTCTTGGGCAGGCGAGAGGACCAGTTCATTCTTAGGTCTGAGTTAAATATTTTCTATGTTTTAAATCCAAATACATTCTCTAGAGTGAGAAATGTAGAGTTTTTATGGAATTGCCAGCATTGACTGCCATGTAATACAGGAGGTACATAATCTCCATCCTTCCTGAGAAGTTCCAGGATTTGGTGATGGGACTGGGTCCCTAAGTAGAATAACTTGTTCATAAAAAAGCTAGCAAATGTTAGGCTTGACAGGGGATTTAGATCAGCTCCCTCTCAAACCTGGGCACAGTGGGCTGAAGGAGGCAGAAGCTTCCTAGCCACTGGCCCACAGATTTGCTTTTCCACTGGGAAGTGCAAAAGCTGCAAGTAGGTAATGCTGAACACATGCCTAGAAAGGATTAGCTGAACTCCTGCACATCCCAGAGGCTTTTCTTTCTGCTGCATCCTCCCTGGAGAGGCTTTTTCACCTCAGCCCTCTGCTGGAATGTGCCTTAAAGGCATAATCAAGCTCATAAAAATTAAGTGGTGTGCAATCGTTAAAACAGAACAAAACAAAAGGACCCTAAGTAAATTTTATTCAATAAAGTCTCTAGAATCAATCAATTTATGTTTTTATTAATGTCAGAACTCACAGCATAGTTTCTGTTTCTGTGTTTTATGGGGCTATAGGGGCTTTTGTTAAGGTTTGGGTTTTTTCCACACCACTACACACAATGACATTTTGGCTTTGAGTTGAGAAGAGTTAAAGTCAAAACTACAATTTATTTTATTTTTTAGCTTGTGAACATCCTTTGGATCAAATCTAAAGGCTTACCTGTTCAAAGCTGAAATGGATTGATAAATGTGAAGGGATCCAGGATGAGGACAGAGCCCTGTGAATGCCAGGCAGTCAGTCACATGACAGTAGTTTTCTAACAATGTACCATTTCTATCTCTCTGATACGTTCACTCAGTAGTGCTAAAGATGGGTTTTCTTGATTATTCTTATACTAATGGTAACAAAATGGGAGAATTTGTGGCATCCTGTCTGCACCGATCCTTTCCACACACTCTGGCTGCCAGAACGCTGATCGTTCGGCATGTGCTGCCCATTTCAGACCTTCCCTGTGCTGAGGGAGAGTGGTGAGCCTTACTGCTTCAAAGTACTCCAAATGTCAGTGCTTTCCAAGTATCTCATGTCTCCTGCCTCTGCCCTGTCCCTCTAACCCAGGGATTTTACAGTTTTTCTGAGTATGATAGAAGTCACTCGAAGGATGCCATTCGAGGCAGGTTTGGCAGTTGGGTCCTTCTCAGCAGAAGCCTTGTGAGTCTCCTGCACAGTTAAACAAAATGTCTTCAATTGGTTCCTGATGCTTTAAAATCTCCTCTGGATGTATATTGCTCTCAACTTGCCTGTTAGATCTTTGTGGTCAGCCTGGGTTTATGTACATTTGGTTAATCATTCTGACTTTGTGAAAGGCCGTCACATGGGAGCTAGAAAGTAAATTAATCTGAAGGAAAGACCTGGACACAAAATTTGACATGATGGAAGGGGTCAAGTATCCATTCACCAAGTGTAATTTCTATTCCTGCCTCTGTGAGTGACACTTTCTGAATACTCTGAGCAGTCTGGATTCATCTTACTGGTTTTGCCCATTTTATTCGCCCACCATTTAGCAAGTAAAGAATTTATTATTAGTCCCTGGTTTTTGTTTATTCTTGATTCCCAGAAGCACAGTGTTTGGTGGCTCTAACCAGTGAATTCTCTATAGTAAAAACATTGATATTTCTGTCCTTAGAGTTGCCTATATGCACTCATTTAAAAAAAAAAAAAACTAAAATCTTTCTCATATGCTTCCTCAATGATATCCTGGTACAGTGAGTTCCAAAGGTTAATTATACATTTTGCTTAAAGCTACTTCACTAACAGGGTCCTCAGGATGAGGGTTGCTGACCCTTTTAAGCCAGTGAACTAAAGCAAACAGCAAAACAACCCACTGAGGCTGTTAGCTTTGTGAGCAGCTATTTGTCTTTCTTGCTTCCTTTTCATCAGGGCAACCTTCCTGAATCAAGCTTCCTCTGAAGAAGGTGACCAGACAGTCTCTGCTGGCATCATGGAAACAGAGATGAAGGTAATGTTTTCATTCTTTGTTATCCTAAGTGTCAGTATTTTGGTTTTGAGAAGAGGTTGCACAAGGATCACCTTTCCCCACTGCTGGGGACCCCTCTGGTTCTCCCCTGGAGATCTCTGTACAGCCCTGCCCTGGGTGGGCTCAGCTGAGCTTCAGGAATGGCTGGGGGCAGGCCTGAACTCCATGTGGCCCGTTCTGCCCACTAATGCATTCCCTCTGAGCTGCGTTTTAAGTGTTTCTAAATGTGAACGGAAGTGGAAATCATTTTGGAAACTTGGAATAGAAAAAAAAGAGTTCCTTAAAGGAATGAAGAGCATGTAATTTAATCTGTGTTTGTAGCATTTAATCTTAAAATCCTGCTATTTTATGTATTTTATGTATCTGTTTCCCTGAAGAAAGCAGATAAGAGCATCCAGTGCTTCAGCAGCTCCTGCCAGTGACAGTGAACCTGAAATGGAACACGTGGTTGTAGATAAAATGCAGGTGGTCAGGACACACTCTTGTTAGCTGAGGTGTGCCAGCAGCACTGTGAGGACTGCAAGGGAGCTTTCAGGAGGTGGGATCAGCAAGGGTTTCCAGTCTCTCTGGACACAAAGAACAGCTCAGACCTTGTGGCACATGTGGTGGATGCAAGAGTGCAAATTTCCCACTTTTAAACTGGTTCTGTGCTTACAGGAAGAAAAGGTTTCTAGAATAGCTTTTCTGAACACATGGCCAGTCTCTCTTTCTAACATACATGATGTAAAAGATCATTCAAGAGTTGAACTGATGTTTGTCACACTGAAGAGACCAGCTTCATATTTCTCCTTGAAATAGTCCTGTGGAGCACTGTTGTGTCTGAAGGCCGGTGAGGACAGGATCCAGGCTCATGTATCTCCCATTTAAGACATCCTACTGTCCACCCAGGAAAAGAAACCAACTGGTAGTTCTCAATTACCGCATAAAATTTATAAGGAGAGATTATATCTCTTCAATAACTTGGTCCCAGACCATTTAGGGCACTACAGACTTCAATCAGTGCCTTGAAATGTATCTATAAGCAAATAGAGCCAGGAGTGTTTTGTGCTATTAGGCCACTTCAGCAAATCACTTAAGCATTACTTAACACATGCTAAGTTTGTACCCAAGGCAAATTCTGAATATGATAAACTCTTTGTCCATAAAATGTCCCCCTCTGGATAATGCAGCACCACTTTATGGCTAAGGGTAATTTTGTGTCTCTCGGTCTCAGTGGGAAAAAAAAACTGGTAGTAGAGCTGTTGTACTATACCTGCATTGTTTGTGTGATTGGTCTGCTAAATGCATAAATCTTAAACAATAGAATTTTGTAATGTACAGTATAACAACTGGCAAGTGTTAGACATTTATTTTCACAAGTGAGGGAGTGACCCATAACTCACATCCATCACAATATATGAAAGCACAGCTCACTGTAGTACAGCAAGCAAGGAAATCATTCATACATGGGATGTTATTCACTTCAACCTTTCCCCTTTTCTGAAGGCAGGCAGGATCTATATGTCTGCTGCTGCATGCTCTGTGTGCTGGCATAGATGTATGATGGCATCACAAAAACTGGAAGGGGAAGAAATGAGATAGGAACAGAAAGGGGTGTGGGCAAGTGTTGTCTGAGCTGATAGAAATTTAAGTGGTCAGGCTTGTCAAGGAGTAGGAAAACTGCAGGGCTGGAGAGTGACTGAGATTAGATGTGACTTTTGGAGAAATGGGAGCTGAGATAATACCTTTCAGTTCAAAAAAACATGGGTGATGGCACAGGGTGAGCATGGGAGAACTGGAAATTAAAACAGTACATAAAATGGAAATGTATTTGATGTAAGGACAACAAAATATGTATCGCCCTTTCAATTCTGGTCTGGTTCCTTTGTTATTATTCCCAAATTTAATGCTGTGCTTTTCAACAGAACCTGTATCCTATAGCAATTTCTGTGAAAAATCCCCTTCACGAAATGGCCAGAGAAGCTGAAGAGAAACATTAATACTGGGACTTCATCGGGTCTTGGCACCCACCTGCTTTCACCAGGCTTGCACACCCACTGTGCACTCTGCAGAAAGTCTATGCTGTGGGAATGGTAAAATTAGCTTTAACTAATTGCATACTGACCACACCAAACTACCTACAGAGGCTGTGGTCTGACATTTCCTTGCTAGAAACAGTGCACAGCAAGATGAGCTCTGTCCCAAATTTCTGAGCAAGCAGGAGAGGCAAAAGAGAAGGTATGGTTATTTCCCATGTGGAATGATTTCATGAGTTTGCCAAGGGACATAGAGGAATCATGTGTTAGAAGGAAGAAATGTCTCTGGATTTCCCAAACACCAATTTAGCAGCGTAGCTGTGAGATACTCTTCCTTTGTACTTGCATCCAGCTGTAGCAGAGTTGCCATGCCATGGTTTGTACTTGGATAGATGGCTTGGGAGATCCCCTGGGAGATGGAGGGAGAAGGCTGCAAGCTCAGGCAGCTTAAGTAGGAAAGAAAAAGTTTCTTCTTGGGCAAGTTGAGAGCTGCTGGCTTGCTTTTAAGAGTAATCATTCTGCAACTTCTGACAGGGCTTAGTTCTAGGCTTCACTCTCCACTCAGGTCCTAGCCTGTGGCACATGTTACAGGTAATAACCCAACATGGCACAGACACAAGGGATCTCATGTGCCACACAGTAGGAGCAGGGGGTACCCAGATATTCCTGACCTTGATGCTGAAGCAATTTTTTTGTCTCAGGACCGGCTTCCTTTGCAGCGAGTGTAACCCTTTTGTCATCTGCACAGTGCTCCCCTTTGTCATTGCACTGCTGGACTCACATCCTTGAACTTAGAGCACAAAAACCCCTCTGGTTTTTTAACTGATGGTTTGTTTGTTTTTCCTCTTTGGTCGATTCTGGGATCAGTGATGTCAACTTGTTCTATTTGCTTTGACAGGAAAATGTTTTCAGAGTTCATTAGGATGGCATCAATTCTAACATTTGGCACACGAACATTTGATGACCTTCATGTGGGGGAAGAAATATGTAGGCAAAACTTCCATCAGTTTGAAAAAACACTTCCACCCCACACCATTCCAATTTCTGAACCGCAGCTTCAACCACAAGTTTAGTGTGCGGTCCCTGTTTGTGACCTGCCAGTGGGCTCCAAAGGTGGAGACTGGAACTGTTTGGAGCCACTACAGACAAAGTCTGGGCTGAGGCTGCAGTTGGATACAGCCCTGCACTCACCTGTAAGGCAGGTGCTGCTAGCAGCCAGGCTCCTTGGTGCTGTTTGGCTCAGCTGGGAGAGGCAGTGCAGTGTAAAGGCAATGGCATCCTCTGCCTCCAAATGCACAGCTTTCCTGGTGCTCTCCTGATGGTTCCCTGCAGCAAGAGGATTTCATTTGGCCACTTTGGGCTCATTTGCACCAATTACAGGGCTCATTAAAAGAGCTGGACTGGCTGGCATTGCAGCAGCTGAGCTCTGGGCTTAGCCACAAGAAAAGGAATAGCAGGTGTTGGCTCTTCCCTCCTCGGGGCCACCTGCCCTGTGCTAACAGAGCCTCTGAGTGGCAGGGAAGGAAGATGCTCGTGGCTTCCCATGGCCTCTAACAGTAAGGGCCAAGTTGTCGGAACTCAAAATGTCCCTCAGACATTTCTGGAGGTTCCAGGTCCAGGTCAGAAGCATTTGAGACCCTGGCAGGCAGCTGGAAACAGCTGTGATTTTGGGTTTGAACAATGGAATGATTTACCAACCTTGCAGGAAGAACAAGAAGCCACAAAAGTTTAGATAATATAGTAGAAATAGTTACAAAGTAAAGGGAAGAATTTTTGAGTGCTGTACAGGGGGTTTTAAGTCCTGTACAGAGGGGTTTTGGTTTTGTACATGGGGGTCAGAGGTTTTAAGATGGAGGGATTTGGGCCTGCCCTGTCCTCCCTCTCTCTTCTTCCTTACCTCCATGTTCTTGGTGATGTTGGCACTCACAGATTGGTTTAGAGTAGAAGGGCATAATTTAATATAGGTAATAGGCATTGGGGGAAAAACTATAAACATGTAACATAATGTACCATATAAAAGATAGCAGCAGCCCTGGGCGGGGGGAGAGAAGAAGCAGTCGGGAGTCAGAGAGGATGTCAGGGTGTGTGTGTGCCTCTGCCTGAGCTGCTGAGCAAACCACAGCAGCTCGAGAAGAAAATCTTTTAGATAACTTGCAATAAACTGCCTTGAGACCCAACAACAAGAGACTGCTGAGCCTTTCTTTGGAAGCACGGGTTGGAGGAGAGACTTTTCCACCACAAGGAGCCACCCCTGACCTAGGGTGGGCTCCAGCACCGAGTAACAGAGAGAACTTCTGCAGTGAAGAAGCTCAGTAGCTGGCCTGAGTCCACCAAGTTATTTTCACTGACCACCGCAAGAGCTGCTGACAGCCTCTGATTGCTGTCAGCCAATGGGTTTAGCAAAGAGCAGGTAGGAAGTGAGAGCCCACTTTTTGGCCATCATTTGTCCTTTGAGCCTTCTCTCTGCCTTAGAGCTGTGTAAGTCCTCCCAAACAGTTCTGTTTTTCCCAGTGCCTGTCTCCATCCCTTTCCTCTGCCCTATCTTAGGTCTTATTTCCTTTCTTTTAGGATTCTCTGTGTCTTCATGCTTTTCTCTCATATCCTGTAATCAAGTGAAAGGTGCCTCTGTGGACAGAGGGGATTTGTACTCAGCCTTTGTTTGCTCTTTCCTGACACTGCTGCCTGCTGTAAGAAAAAACCAAGTGCTGCCCATATGTTGCTGTGCTCCCCTAAATTACAGAGGGTGAACGTTTATGGCCGTTCTCACTGTTGCTTTCTCCATACTTTTCTAAATGATATGTTTTCACGAGCAATTACTAAGATAGGCAGTCAGGACTGGTTTTTGAGGTGTGCCACTTAGTGGCCTACACATAAAAATGGGGGACAGGAGGAGGAGGATGGCAAAGGCTTAATACCATGCCTTGCTTAAGAGAATGTCCTTCAGGTGAGCAGAACCCTGCACCTTGT